TATTAGAATGTTTTTGATGGCTTTCAGCTGTAAAAGCAGATTTTAGGGGTGCCTGGGTGGCTCAGTCAGTTGAGCGTCCAACTTCGGCTCAGGTCATGATCTCACAGTTCACGAGTTCGAGCCCCGCGTCGGGCTCTGTGCTGACAGCTCGGAGCCTGGAGCCTGCTTCGCATTCTGTGTCTCCCTCTCTCTCTGCCCCTAACCCACTTGCATTCTGTCTCTGTCTCTCTCAAAAATAAATAAACGTTAAAAAAATTTTTTTAAAGTTTCATTTTGCAGAACTCTCACTTTTAAACAAAAATTTTGTTTAACCACAATATTTCAGGTAAGACTTTGTTTTTTCAATTTGGAAATAATCACAGGTTCAGAGGAACTCATATACTGAAAGTATACCCTTCACCTAGTGTCCCCTGATGGTTGCCTCTTAAATAATTAGAGTAAACTATCAAAGCCAGGAGTTTGACATTTTTTTTCAATGTACACATGTAGTTATAAGTTTAAGCAGGCTAATAAATTGAAAAAAGCAGTCCTTAAGAAAGGACCACTTAGCTGATGAATGTATGAACCACCCTAATGACCATACTTCTTGATAAAGTTCCTTGAGATACCTTTTCACTGTGTATTTCATTGGGTGGATTTACAGGAATTTGCAGTGATTACTTGAAAAATTGAATTGATCATATTAAGAGACAGATCGTGGTGTTGGAGAGTCATGTTCCCTTTAGCGCCCTTGGCCTCAGACCCTGAGAATCTCGGTTTTCTGACCCTGTCGGAATGACCCCCTGCCTGTGGCCCCACTATGTCGCCCATGCCCCCATTGTGTCTGGATCATCTTAGGCTGAGCTGTCCTGCACTGTCCACCCACACAATGGGGAGGGGTATCCTCTCGACTCTTGAGCCTTTCCCTAAACCCCTGCAAGGTCCTCTCTTAGAAGAGGAGGCAGCTATGAATTGAGGGCAAGAATTAAGTGACATGAGGCAGGTGCCAGGCCTTCATTCTTTGGCCAGGTAATTGGGGGTTGAGGGGAGCACAGTGGGGCAGGGTCGAATGGTCTGGGATGAGGGACCTACACAGGTCTTCAGGTGGAAGGGACACAGAGCAACAGGCACGTTGAAGACTGGAGTGTCTTCAAGGCACCCTGGTGGGAGAGGCCAGCGTGTTTAAGTCTGATGTGTGTTTTGCTCTAGTCCACACTGTGGTATTTTTACCCAGTGTGTGTGGTGTTAACATTCACACCTACATTTTATTGTGGTTGTAGGAGTTTTTGCATCCTAGGTGAAAGTTCATTTTATCATTCATTCATTCATTCATTCATTCAGTATTTTTCCACTGAGCACCTTACACCTTTTACCTTTCAGGCAATGTTCTAGGCACTGAGGATACAGCAGTAAACAAGGCAAAACTTTCAGCTTTCCTGAAGCTTAGGTTGTAGTGGGGAAGGACAGAGGATAAAAAAGGATAAGTGAAATACATTGTTAACCAGTGTGATAAATTCTAAGGAGGAAGAGAAAAACAAAGAAGAGGGATAAGGATTGAGGTCTGCAGGAGGGGTGGTCATTTTGGGTAGAGAGGCCGGGAAAGGTCACCCTGAGAAGGCAGCATTTGAGTCAGAATTACAATGAACTGGAGCGTGAGCGCGGTAGATGCCTGAGAGGAGAGTTGTGGGTAGAAGGAAGATCATGGGCAAAGGCCCTGGGGCAGGCTAGAGTAGCCAGAACTCAGACCTTTGAAAAGAAAGTGTGAGAGAGGTTTAAATACTGAGATTTATTCTTGTAATAAAATCTTACCCAGCACCCTTTTCAATACCCCTCCCACTGCCCCCTGAAAGTGCAAGCTGTTAGGAACCACTAACATTCTACATAAGGAAGTGATAGTTTTAATGAGTTTAAAACTGGTGACGGTTTCTGGTTTGAGACTGAGTACTCCTTTTTTTTTTTTTTTTCTCCCTGATGCTCTTCTTTTTAATTTCTATCCTGGCTTTTGTATTTCAGTCTCACCTTAAGTTTTTCTTCTCTTACCTGCTGATGGTGCCATGATCACGTTGGTGAGGTACCCTTTGCTTTTGTTACTAAAACGCATGAATGTTTACTGACTCCTTGTCTCGAGTCGAACCCTTCTAGCCTCCATAGAGGCCACCAAGAAATTGAAAGCCACTTTTCTGCCCTGAAGTTGCTTCCTGCTTCACAGGAACAGAGCTGGTGCAAATGTAAAATACAAACGGGGTGTTTGTTTGTTTGAAATGAAAATAAACGATAGGGTTAAACCGAGAACAGGGAGGTACTCAGATAATGGAAGTAGCTGGCATTTTACATTTGTACATGAAAAGGATTGGACAACGTTCTGGGGGTTGACTCTGGCAGGGGGTGGGGGGTTGTCCCTGCAAGGGGAGATTGTGTCTGTCACATGCAACGGGCAGTTTCAAGTTTTCATGCTTCTGTTATTTCTGAGTCCTCCACCAAGGCCACATGGGCCCTCGTGGTTGTCACCGACCTTTCTGGAAAAGCTTTCCAACCAAGGGCTATTTCAGCAGTCCCTAGAAACTGATTGTTCTTTAGCGGCCTCAGACTTCCTGCTGACTCTGTGTAGGTCATCCCCTGAGAATTTCTCTCGGTAGGATTTAGGAGATTTGGCATTCATCTCTAAATTCTAGTTCTGAAGATAAAAATGGCTTCTTTCCTACCTTGGCTGGCCGAAAAGAATCTTGCTACTAAAAATGCTATTAATATAACAGGACCCGTCACGATGATGCATGGAGACGCTGTAATTCTTGAAGGTTGGGGCCATTTCCTTTAGGAAACTTCTCCTGAGGCTTTTAACTTGATTACTCTTCTCTTGACAGAAACAAGCCTAACCAAAAATTTGTTGTTGGCAGTATGTCTGTCAATTTATATTTGCAGACTTTTGGTACGTATGGTAGAGGAGGGTCCCCCTGGTGGGCCTGAGGTGTGAGGTGACAGTCTGGCTTTTCTCTCATTCACTTTTTCCACACTCATTCTTTCCTGCTTTTAAACTTAAATCTCTGTGATTCTTAAAATGGAACCATGGCTAACACTTGTTCTGAGCTCTGTATTATTTATTGGTAAACCATAGATACATCGATACATCCAGGGATCTTAACGTCTATTAAAAAAAAAAAAAACACCTCTAAGAAATTAGTCATGGCCTTTAGTTATGGAAATGTTTATTTGTTTTACTTTAAAAATGCAGCACATGATATTCTTTGGACTCTAGATCCCATAAATGGTCGTGTTTGGACAGTTGATCTGTTTCTTTTCCCTCCAGTGAGTTGAGGTTGTTTTTTTTTTTTTTTTTTTTTTTTTTTTTTTTTTTTTTTTTTCTTTTCTTCTTAAAGATGCCAGTCAGAGAGGCATGAGTTTAACTGCTTTGAAATATACTTACTGCCAGTAAAAAGGAGATCCTCCTTCTTGGAAAGTTCCCTCTGAGAATCATATGATGTGTGACCTGGTAGGGAATATTCCAGTATGGGAATAGCTTAACATCTGGTGCCTGTATGAGTTACCTCTGAACTCACTGGAACACGAAATGGAGGTTTTCTCTTCCTGTTGCCACTGCCTTCGTTTCCGTGATGATGCGCTTGTGGCGGTCAATGCAGTGTTTCAGACAGAACAGTGAGATTAGGGAATGATTCTGGATCAATGTGAACGTGTATTATATAGTCCAGGGCATTCCAAACTGTTTGTCGTGGTCGTAAGGGAATTCATTCTCCATTTCCCCCTGGTGCCTTTCACTTTTATTGTGTGCCTTCCCGGGGCTACGGTATCAGTTTCACGAGAGTAGGGAATGTGTCTCTTTTGTTCTGTGTTGTATCTCTGGCTTCAAGAACATGGTAGGTGCTCGGTGTATATTTTCTGAATGAATGACTGTGTAGGTGGTTGGAAAAATCAACTCAGGAATATGTCCAGCTACTATATTTTTCTTCTTTCCATTCTGGCCACTTTTATGTGTATATCTCGAGTGCCTACAATTTGAATGGTACAGAGAAAGAGCAGAGCAAGGAGAATAGGCCAATGGAGTCACAATCGCTGAGCTTGGAAGGTTTGTCTCTTTCCTCTGGTGGATAAGGTCACCAGGTCAGTGCGAGAGACTGGAAAAATGTTAAGGAAGGGCTTGGATTAGCCTGGGCAGCCCCAAAAGGCGGAATCACATTTAGTGGTTTCATGATGTGAATGTCTGTTTGCAGGCACTCTGTACCAGATCAATGTTCTCAATTTGGGTTTGCTGCCAGAAATAAACCCATTGGTCTGCTGCTAAGCAGAGAGCGGGGTTTCTATTTTCTTCTGCCCGCACCCCCTCCCAAACACCGCAAGTTAAGGTTTTCAGAGTGCTGTGGAATTTAAGGTAAAAAAAGAAATGATAATAAAAAGCAGCAAGCCCATTTCCCTTTTTGACTTTGAAAAACTAGGAGGAGTTGATCGGACTTACATCTTGACTTTTCCCAGTTCTGATTGATTTTTGAAGTCTGAGTCAAGCAGACGCATCGGGAGGGAGGGAGGTTATCACATGCACCTGTGAGTTTTGTTAACTGTTGTTTGAAATACGGGTAGTTTCAAGCAGAAAGTGACGCATTTGCCCGACCCCTCAGTTTGTGCTCTCGGGGTTTGAGAACTTTGTTACGTATAGAGTTTAGGGCTGGCGGCCTCATGGAGGCAGCGCGGTGGCAGGTTCCCCATAGGCAGCTGCCCTCTGGACAAAGACGAGTTTCCTTGTCTGAACACCTTGCTGAGGCTCCTCTCACACATCTCGGGAGGGCCCATCTCAGTGGATGACGCTGGTTCTCACCTGCCACCGGGTAAGAGACCGAGCACCTGCCGGGTGGGTAGAGAGAGGTGGGTACGCTGTGACCTGCCGAGCCGTCTGCCCGCCCTGCACCCTGAGTTCTTTTCTGTTGAACTGCCCGTACCCATTGGTGACTCAATTATCCCCTCCTTTTTCCACCCCCTCCCCCTCCCCCCCCCCCTGTGCTACAGACCATAAAACCATGGGAAACGCAGAAAGTCAAAATGTAGAGCATGAGTTTTATGGAGAAAAGCACGCCAGCCTGGGCCGCAAGCACACGTCGCGCTCCCTGCGCCTGTCGCACAAGGCGCGGCGGACGAGGCACGCGTCCTCGGGGAAGGTGATCCACAGGAACTCCGAAGTGAGCACGCGGTCCAGCAGCACGCCCAGCATCCCCCAGTCTCTGGCCGAAAATGGCCTGGAGCCCTTCTCCCAAGAAGGCGCCTTGGAGGACTTCGGCAGCCCCATCTGGGTGGACCGAGTGGATATGGGCCTGAGACCCGTGTCGTACACCGACTCTTCTGTCGCTCCCAGCGTAGACAGCAGCATCGTCCTCACAGCCGCCTCTGTGCAGAGCATGCCAGACTCGGAGGAGAGCAGGCTTTACGGGGATGACGCTGCGTACTTGGCTGACGGGGGCAGGAGGCAGCATCCCTATACATCCAATGGGCCCGCTTTCATGGAGACGGCGAGCTTTAAGAAGAAGCGCTCCAAATCTGCAGACATCTGGCGGGAGGACAGCCTGGAATTCTCACTCTCCGATCTGAGCCAAGAACATTTAACAAGCAACGAAGAAATCTTGGTTTCCACTGAAGAGAAAGACTGTGAGGAGGCTCGGGGGATGGAACCCCGGGCGAGTCCGCGGCGGCTCAGCGCCTGTCAGCGTGCCAATTCCCTGGGTGACTTGTACGCTCAGAAAAACTCCGGGGTGACGGCAAACGGGGGGCCAAGGAGCAAATTTGCAGGCTACTGTCGGAATCTGGTGTCTGATATCCCCGAGCTTGCAAACCATAAGATGCCACCGGCTGCTGCTGAAGACTCTGTTCCTTACAGTAATTACAACACACTCCCCTGTAGGAAATCTCACTGTCTTTCCGAAGGTGCCACCAACCCACAAATTAGCCATAGCAACAGCATGCAAGGCAGAAGAGCAAAAACAACTCAGGTAAAGTGACCGAAGTCTGTTTCCATGTTTTGGAGTCGGTGCATGACTTTTAGTGCATGATTGTGCTCCCGCGAGATTCCCGTCTCTTAGTGGCTTGTGCCCTGTTTGCCCGGTGGCTGCTGCAGGTGGTACCGCTTTCCCCGAGGGCTGGCCTCACCTCTGCTTCGCCCCGCTTCCCGTTCCGCGGGCAGGGGTGGGATGAAGGGAGGAGTGTGTGTTTGGTGGGGGGTGATGTGGCGGGAGTGAGAATAAAGCTGCTAAGTTCTTACTGGGAAGTGACTGCCTGTCCAACTCCGATCTGCCGCAGCAGCTCGCTGGTTCTGAGCTTCCTTCCTCTCCCCGGACAGATGGGCATGGTGGGCTGTGGCCTCTTACAGCTCCTGTCTCCAGCACCGCAGGTGGGAAGGGGTTAGTCGGAAGCTCCTTTGAGGAGGCATTTTTGACTCAGGGCGGGCTCTGGTCATTTGTCAACTTCTCTCGGAGGTTGGCAGCCTTCCTGCCTTACCAGGAGCCATTTCAATTTCCTGTTCCTTGCGATGCTGGCCAGCCCTGTCTCTGGAGGGAGGTGTAGCGGAAGGAATAACACGGGCGGGTTCCAGTTCCTACTCTGCAGCCAACTAGTTGTGTGACCTTGGGCAAACCCTGCCTTCTAGTTGCTCCTCTGAAAAATGGGAGTGAAAATGCTCAACTTGCCTGCCTCGGGGTCTAGGGCACAAGAGGGTGGGTGGGAAGACATTTTTCAAAGGTTTTTAAGAAGCGTCTTGCTAACGGAAAGAGGACTCCCCACCTTAACCGGTAATGATACCCACACGAGCATAAGGACCTGTCAAGCCCTCCTGCTTGGACCAGGTGGGACCAAAGTCCTCTTCTGGTCCTGCTGTGCCCCTGTAGCAGAGTTCTGGGAGGCCTGGCTTGGGTCTAGGGTAGGCTCGTGGTTTGCAGGATGGGGCTTTGGATCAGAAATCCAGATCAAGCCCATTTGCGTCGAAAGGCATGTCAGCCACCAGGGTGACCGGCTAACGGCAGTGCGGTCTGCCGGGGAACAGCAGGTGCCCTCTGACCCGACCAGTGGTCGGTGTACCTCTGGTACTGCTCCTGTGCAAGCAAAACAGGCATTTCAAGGTGAAGTTCTCTCGGAAAGGGGGTCTAAGTATGATGGGCAGATGGTGGAGAACCTAAGGAAGGAGGCAAAGAAAATTGGCATTAGACTCTCTGTGTTCTTGCTGGAGAGCAGATTTTTTAATAATGGATTCTTTTTTTTTTTTAACGCTTATTTATTTTTGAGACAGAGAGAGACAGAGCATGAATGGGGGAGGGTCAGAGAGAGGGAGACACAGAATCCGAAACAGGCTCCAGGCTCTGAGCTGGCAGCACAGACCCCGACGCGGGGCTCGAACTCACGGACGGCGAGATCATGACCTGAGCCGAAGTCGGCCGCTTAACCGACTGAGCCACCCAGGCGCCCCGGAGAGCAGATTTTTTAAGTGTCCAAAATCTCAGGTTTCTAATTTTATCTCGGAATTTTATTTATTTTTTAAATTAAAATATTTTTTTTAAGTTTATTTTTTGAGAGGGACCGAGACAGCGTGAATGGGGGAGGGGCACAGAGAGAATTCCAAGCTGGCTCTGCGCTGTCAGTACAGAGCCTGATGGGGGGCTTGAACCCACAAAACCGTGAGACCATGACCTGAGCCGAAATGGAGAGTCGTGTGCTTAACCGACCGAGCCTCCCAGGTTCCCCTACTTTGGAATTCTAAATTCTCATGTATAGGTCATCAGGGGGTAGTTTTGTTTTGTTTTTTCTTTTACTGCTCTAGATTTCTGTATTTGAATAATTCAAAGTTAACTGTATGTTCCTCTGGGTTTATATGGACTAAAGGGAACGTGTTTGACCTCTCCCCTCCTTTTCTTTTTAAAATTATGTTTCATTGTGGGAAAAATATACCCATAACATTTATCACGTTGACCATTTAAAAAAAAATTTTTTTTTTAATGTTATTTATTTTTGACACAGAGAGAGAGAGAGACAGAGCATCAGCGGGGGAGGGGCAGAGAGAGAGGGAGACACAGAATCGGAAGCAGGCTCCGGGCTCTGCGTTGTCAGCACAGAGCCCGACGTGGGGCTCGAACCCACAGACCGCGAGATCATGACCTGAGCCGAGGTTGGACGCTCAACCGACTGAGCCACTCAGGCGCCCCACCACGCTGACCGT